TCGCGATTTTCTTTAAGGGTACCTCTTCTCTCTTTTTGGACTTTCCCTTGGAAATACTGTGAAATAAAAACTAAATATCACTAAGGTTTCGTATTCTCAGAACTGATTGGAAACTGAATGGAGCACTTTTCTGTTATTGTTTCAAGTATCTAACTATTGCCGTTCACGAGTTTTCCAGAAAGCTCGGTTCTTCACTGGACCACATTACGCCCTCGCTTAAATTTCATCCGATTGAATTAAAAGTTTTACCAGAGGTACTCAATGTCATATCGCAGAGATACTTTTTGGAAAGACTTTTTAAGGCCTTTCTTGGTAGAGTTATAGGAAAAATACTGAAAAACGTCTCAAAAACCAAGGTTTTCAATTTTAGAAACCCTATAACTCGGTAAAGAAAAGTCTAAAATAACATTCGAAAAAAACACCTCTACAATAGTATCTTGAGTACATATGGTAAAAGTTTTAGCTCAATCGGTCGCAATGTGGTTCAAAGAAGTCCAGTAGCAAAAAAATAGTTTTCGAGAAAAACCGCATTTTGTACGTAGGACACTTTTTTCAGAGCATTTGTTGTGATGCTTATATTTCCGCGAGAACTCATAGGAAGATTCTGTAAAATGTCTCATTGTGAAGAAAATACTTTCTTCTATCAGACTACGTGTAAGAAAAATAATAAATATACGAAAAAGGACAGAAAAGTTTTATGAAAGTAAAAAACTCAGTTTTTTAGGCTTCGAAGAAAAAACTTCAGAAATACAGAACTTTTTGAAGAAAAGGTCGTGGAGTGCTGGGAGTCGTCTCATTTTGTAGCCCACACTTTCCTCTACGTTAGGCTATGCTCAGCTCATAATCTGAAATTTTTTCAAAGGGGCGGGGTAGGGTGTACCCTTAATTGAATAATGCAATACTTTTTGAGAGATTTTCAGTCATCTTATCTAGCGGAAATAAGCGTCCCCCATATTTTCCAATGATTTCACAGCTAAAACGTTTCGAAAATCCTTTTGGTCCAGTGTCTTTTCTCGAACCTTTGCAGGGTAGCGCTGTTCTTTTTTCGACCTAATGTAAGTTCGTCCACCAGATAAAAATTCCAGATTAGACCGTTGAGTCATCGTGATATATTTAGTGAATTTCATCATTCATACTAGAAACATGAGCATTGTGCTAGATATACTGACTCGAATGTATCACGTTCTCGAAGAAATGACCGAGTAAAACATGACGCATCCCAATGATATGTACAGAGGCCGAAGAAGCAGTCTTCAACTAATAAAATTCCAAATCTTCATATTTTCTTTATTAAAAACTATATTTGAAAAAGTAAGAAGTACTATTTTGGTGTACACATTAGACGTTACCTGGAAATTTCGTGAGTATACGAAGTTTCATACACTCTATCAAATGAATTTTGAACGAAACTAATAATTTATTATTACAAAATAAAATTTTAATAATACGCATATACCTTCCCGAAAACACGTTTCCATCGAGTGAAGCGCAAAGATTCGGGTAGAACTCAAAATTCGAAGTATATACAGAAATTTTGAGCATATATTTTGTGAGCAGCCTTATCCGATCTCATGATATTTAAAAGATCGAATAAATGTTTTATACAAGCACATGACATCGTAGAGTCCTGCTGCGCATGGAAAAGAAAAAAGAAAATTATGTTCTCTTTCATTTTTTGTATATAGTTCGGAGTAAAACAAAATAAAAACATTAATTTTTACTTATCAAAGGCTTTTGATTCAAAATATTCGTGATTCAGGTGAAAATCTAAATCACATTGTACAAAATTTTATTAGTTTTTTTCGCTTTTTTCTCAGACGTTTGAACGTTCAAAATATAAGGCGCCGCCTAAGACAAATTTGTTTTGAATTTTCTAATAAGAATCTTATCCGATTCTTATATAAGAAGTGGCACGAATTTCGCAAGAATCAGATAGAATCGAGTAAGAATCTTATAAAAATTTTATAAGAAAGTGATAAGAATCCTTTATCAGATTCTTACAAGACTTTTGCAAGGATTATTCTCTATACATTTGGTTCCTGTAAGATTTCACAGAAATAACTTTTTCTTCGGAGTTTTTTTGTTAAACTACCAGGTTCGAACCCTGAACGGACCGGTTTTTTAAAAAATCTTTTTTTGTTCATTATTGTTTAAAACTCAAGAAAATTGCTGAGAGAACCATCGCGAGTGATCGGTCCGAAAAACTTTTGCTATAAGAATTTCATAAAAACTCAGTAAGAAACTAATAAGGACTCTTATCACTTTCTTACGAAATTCGTGCAACTTTCGTGCCACTTCTTATATAAGAATCCGGTAAGAATCGGATAAGATTCTTAGCAAAACCACATAAGAAGCTGGCAAAATCCTTACCAGATCCCTACCCAATTCGTATATAAGAATTGATGCCTAGGGCACTAATTCGTTTGAGCACTATTTTATTCGTCTTATTCATGCATCATACGACAGAGCGCGACCAGCTGATGATTAAGAATAAGGTGCCGGAAATTCGAAAGGTGCACATAAAAATAGATTTTGTTTGAATATACATGATTGAATAGCTCTTTATTCACTTTGATCAAGTTTTGGGGGAGAAATAGTCAAAATGCTGAATATCACCTATTTTGACACTTTCGAAGTAAACTTCAAATTTGACCCGGTTACATAGGTTCTCTTTTTTTCAAACACGCATATTCGGATTCAGCAGCTCAAAAGGAGTCTAGCCATGTAAGTTCAGGAGTATTTTATCTATTCTAGCGCCTGAGCCAGATGGCCTAAGTCCGGCCATTTTGAGACCTCTATGCGTCAAATCTATATAGTCTTTTGCATTAAAAGCCTTCCCCAACAATGATACATCATTCGAACTGCTATTAAAAGGCGAACAAAAGTATGCGTGCGTTCGAAAAACTTTCATTTCCCCGTGGAGAAAATTCGATTTTACTGAATCAGACCGAGATTTTAGCTTTAAGAAGTCGGTTTTTGAAAATTTGAAAATACTAAAAGGACCTTAAATCTCGAAAGTCCGCACTACTCAAAATAATATCAAACATTTTTGTTTCTTTTCATTTTGAAGCTCTTTAACTTATTTTTTGTGATTACTCGTATGCAACTGACTCTAGAAATATTATTTAGAGCTTGATCCAATACCATATAGCCAATAAACAAATTTGATATCAAGGACACCCTAAAGAGTGCCAACAAATTTTACAAACGTATCTAGATTTTTCTGTTACGGACCACATTTGATTCGTCTTTGCATGGGCAAAAATAATATAGAGAGCTGTTGTTGAAATTTCTTTCCGCAGCTGGATAAATTCATTTTTTCTGAATGTTTTTTTTCTAAAATTTGTTGGCGCCTGTAAGGTGTCTTTGATATTGAATTTGTTTATTGGCTATATGGTATCTGATCAAGCTTTAAATAATATTTCTAGGATCAGTAATCATACGGGGAAGTTAGAGAACTTCAAAATGAAATGGAACAAAAATGTTTGATATTTTTCTTAGTAGTCGAAATTGAAGATCCTTCTAGTATTTTCAAAAACAGGCTTCCTAAAGCTAAAATTTAGTTTGTTTTAATCAAGTTGGTCGAGCTCTATCGAATGATGTATAAGACGAAAATAAAATAGTGCTCAAATTTCGAATTAGCAGCATCATTTGCATCGTTCAAAGGTCTGAAAACTTGTGCCAAACTTTTCTATGATAGATCCAGCAAGCCTGAAAAGTACTTACTTTATCGTACCAAAGTAAGGCTGCATGAAACAGTTCATAGTCTTCTTCCTACATCATAGAGTGAATGAATATATTTACCTCTATGAACTTATTTTCTCCTTCACATGAGCAAAATTTAAGGTATGTGTAGGTGCGTCGGTTATTATTGTTTATGGATGATGTCTAAGGCTTTTAAAAATAAAAGCCTTATAAAAAAACATTGCAGCATCGTTATGTCATTTCATTTCATTTGTTTATTTTGACAGAATGTTACAGGTGCATGTTTAAAAACATCAGAATTTATAACGAGCAAGCATACTTCGTTTCACACAAGTATGCCAAAATATGCTTGGTATCGGTTATTTTAATAATACAAAATGCGTATAAGGCAAATTCTAATTCAATGTATCAGACATTTAAAACTGAATTATTTGATTTACATAGAAATATTCCTCCAACTGGACTTTCTCAGGGAGAAGAATCTTGAAATATGATTCGTTTAAGATCATATTAAAAGATTTCACAAGACTTTTCTTGCAACAAAATTCCGTAAGGTTTTGAAAGATCTATTGATATGATCTTGTCTGATAATGCAAGAAGCGACAAAATCTTGAAAGATTTCTTGAGATCATATAATAATTCAGCATATCTTACAAGATTATGTCTCTGGCAGAGGCATAATCTTGTAAGATATGCTGAATTATAAGACAGAACCGGGTCCCTGTCTTATGGACCCTCTTTAAAAAGAATCGTTTTCTCTTTCTAGTATTTTTGAGCGTATGAAGGACTCTGACGTCTTTATGAACGTGTCTAATCACGCTTCTTATAGCCATGCACTTGTTTATGCTCGGCTGGTGTATGGAGTTGAAGGAAGAAAAAAATTTTAAGGTTTGTCATAAGAACTATATTATATATATACTATATATCGTAGCAAAATTTATGTAGTAAGACTATAAGATCTTGTAGCGAAAAATCTAGTGATGAAAAACGATCTCACTGGTAAGCTTAGATAAGATCTTGCAAGATTATGCAACTTCTTGTTAGAAGACCTTAAGATTTCTTCTAAGCCGATCTAGTAAGATCTTGCAATAAGAAGTTACAAGATTGAATAGGACTTCAATAGGAGAAAGATGGATACTAGCGATTTTCGTCATTGGAAAGAGGAGACTTGAGGGCATTTTCTCATAAGCAAAATGATTTTTAAAATCGATCTTTCAAGAAGATTTCTTAGGGATTTTCGAAAAACTTCTATTGTTTTTTCTAGCGCATGGATAGCCCAAAGTGTTCTCGTCAAAATGGAAGCCAGGCATTTGATGAGGGTGAGACACGAAATTATTAATCGAATCAAACCATGTTGGCAACGGCAGAAACGAGAAGAAATGATGAATGAAATTCGTCAATATAACGAAAGATTACACGACATGGCACCTGCATACGGCTATACAGTGGTCACAACGGACATAAAAGACGAAGACTTAAAAAGTGACGGTGTACATTTAAACGACACTAGTGTACTAAAATTAGTTCAAACAATAAAAGAAACATTCGATCGCTATTCAAGGGTTGACACCACGAATAAGACTCCTTCTCAGGAATATAAAGGAAGATTTCCTTCGAATAATGAGCTACGGCTTTGCCAGACGGCATTAGACAGATGGTAGAAAATGAACCCGAGGAAACTCTAGAAGACCGAAGTTACCGTGGAGTGATAAGAAAATATATCTATGCACGTTTTCTACGAGATTACTACAAAGTAATATCGGAATACTTAGAGGCATATATCGACGATAGGACCGACGTCAAGCGCTCCCATCAAGTGTACACAAACATGTGGCACCACTGTATAGTATGACAAACCTTGAGGCCGGGAAGGTAAGATACGAGAGGGCTGCAAAACAGGCAGATGAAGGCAGAAACGAATCTGAAAAACGACTTATTGCATTGACTCATATTTCAGAAGGTATGACTACCGAAAAATGCGCAGCAATCATGAATCAAATAGAGCAATGGGCACTTGCTCAAGGTAAAACGATTCTGATTAAAGAATTGTAAGAAGAGATTAACTATATTATTCTCTTTCAAATGAAAAAGGAACACAGTCTAATACCGAGTATCGAGATAAGATGGAAAGCGACCTGACGGTTGACAAACACTTCATTGAGAGGGAATGGAACACCCTTATCGCATTAAAAGGTACACACTTACGGTATATCACTCAACTTAAAAAGCTCGAGACCAGAGCCAGGATACATGAACCACCATCTTCGCTAAATGTAATTGATATAAAACTTCAGACGAAAATCGAAAAGGGAGACCCCGAAATGCTTGTAATTCAAAAACACTGGAATATGTCTATCCTACAGGTAAAAACAATCACGTTAAAGTGCATGATTGATGCCAAAAATCTGGAAATTAAAAAGATTGATGATCAAATTATAATGTCTAAAGCGAGACTGCCACAAGAATATCAAGGAATTCTTAACAGAATTTACACTATAAGAGAAAAGATTGAAGGTAGGAATCTTGGGCCAAGTTCCATTTTTTAGGACAAAGATTAAACGAAATCAAAGGGCGATAGTTCGGGCTGTGGCCTGTCACTCCAATCATTCCAGGTACGGTCCATTACCGCGATGAATACAGCAATATCATTGACATCATCTCAAAAAATGATATTGCGAAATGGTCCAAAGTACGTCTACCCCAACTATGCAGAGGCGCTGCGACGATTACCAGATGAAATAAAAGTGATGGCTGACAACATAAAAAACGAGTATGAACGTGAACTGACTCATCCTAGATTCGTTTTACCGATGATCGATAATTTTGCAAAAAAAGTAGAAAGTACTATTGTAAGTTATTGGAAAAAGGCTTTGCTCAAGGCCAATGCAACGACTTGCACATCGTTACAGCAACTTAGAGACAGACAACGTAAAAATGAGATACTGTTTAGGCGGACAGATAAATTTAAAGTATTAAACATTGATTTACCTCAAAATTTTGAGAAAAAATCAGACATCTATATGGCTAGAACCGACGCCTATACAGAAATAAATGAACATCCATTGAAAAGAATGATTGAAAGTGCGAACTTGCTGCTAACTGACTTATTGAGCAAAAAACGTATATCAAAAACAGTATACGAGAAGTTGAAACCACCTCAAGACTGTGAACTACCTCATTTATATTATAACCCGAAAGACCATAAACCAGGTACACCAGTGAGACCGATAGTAGCGCAGATAAAATTCCCCGTGACACGTATATCACACTTTTTAGACTAAACACTGAGACCGATATTTGAATAACGTACGGCTCATTACAGAATACAGATGCGTTTTTGAACCATCACGAAAGGTATCCCACGACCGAAGATACTATTCGGGCCACTTTTGACGTAACTGATTTGTATACGATGATCCCCCAGAAACACTCAGTTTCTACAGTATGTACTAGCAGCGCGTAGAAAGTTTAAAACTGGTAACATATCAATTGGTACTTTCACAAAGCTGATTCGACATGTGCTAGACAACTCATATTTTACATATGGAGAAAAACTCTTCAAACAAATAAAGAAGGTGCCATGGGCAGCGCTGTAACTCAAGTAATGGCAGACGCATATATGTATGTGTGAGAGATGTGATCTCTTTCATTAGTTATTCTATGTTCAGGTCTGGGGTCACTCATAAACAATATCAGAACGAGGCGGATCACGTGCTTTACTAATGTGAGTTATCACATCCCGTACGGGTTATTTTTCGTCATTTTCTGTACATATACTCGGAGAGGATTACGTATATTCATTTTGTTCTGTCAAACATACATATATATTTACGTTTTTATTCTTGTCGTATGTGGACAGACATTTAGTCTTTTTTCTTTTTCTTGGTATTACAGATAGGCATTGCGCCGAGATCATTCTTTTTAATACATATATATTCGCTATTTCTTCACTTCAGAGGCTACCTTGTACTCACTTTTATTTGTGTATATTTCGTTGTTGTATTCATTCGTTTATTCAGCACAATAAAAGATTAGAGATATTAACACATGAGCCAATACTATAACATGGCGACCCTGGCTTTAAATTAAGTTATCTTTATTCATTAACAGTGGAAACGACTTCCTAGCGAAGTTGATTCGAAATTAAAGATAATACGGCAGAAGCGACTCTCTTAAGGAGTTGATTCGTACATAAAAAGCCAAGGAAACGACTTCTAAACGCAGTTGATTTGTAGAATCATTCTGTAAAGCCGGGGAAACGACTCTTTACACGGAGATCGATTCGCACTTCAGTAACCGGGAGACCTAACTGTTTTGAGGAGTTAGTTCGGGTATTAATTAGGATCGGGGAAACGCCTCTAATAAGGAGATTGATTCGTGTATCATTCATTAAAAAACCGGTAAGAAAAGTGTTCTTTTAACTTTCTTGTAGCCTTTCTTTTAGCTGTAGCCCAGAGTTGGAACCGGGCCGGCAGACCGGCCGGTGCCGGTCCGGTCCGGTGTAAAAGTTTAGACCGGCCGGTCTCCACCGATCTTTTGCCGGTCTAGAAATATTTTCAAACCGGCCGGTGATCGACCGGTTTTAAATTCTTAGCATTTTTCTCTTCTTCGTTCAAGAAAACTGATATGTTCTTCAGACATTAAATTTAAGACAAATGACTTAACATACAATAACCTATAATTAAAATAAGAACAAACCAGACTATTTTCTTTTTCTTTTGTTTCTTAGTCATTCTTTGATAGTGATACGGAAAAGGATTAAATCCCTATCTAGCTATAGCTATTACCGTCATGTTTTCCGTATCACTATCAAAGACTAAGACTGAGAAAGATGACTAAGAAAGAAAAGAGGAAGAAAATAGTCTGGTTTGTTAAACAAGTGACAGAAATATGAAAAAGCTAGTGAAAATGACTTTTTCATTAAAAATATTTTGGTTTACTGATAAAAGCGTCTAAACCGCCCAGTTTTTTGCCGGTTTTTCACCGTTCTCGAAATTTGTTGAAAACCGGCCGGTCTTTTTGCCGTTTTTTACCGGTCTAAAAAGATTTTTGGGCTGGGGGGCCACCGGTCGGTCCGGTCCGCTGTTTTGAACCGGCCGGCCCGGCCCGGCCCGGCCCCTTATTTTTTTTTTAGACCGGTTCCAACTCTGCTGTAGCCTACGTGTCTTCCGTGTTTTCGGACAGCTACTACGTCATTTACTTAGCCTTTTAAATAAAAACGAAAGGTAACAGAAAAAACGTTCGTGATAAGAATTTATCGTTAATTTCTTACCATCCCATTATATATTCTACACAGCATCAAATCAATAACTATTGGTAACAAATATTCAACTGATGGAGAACGTCTGCAAATCGTTCGTGGCAAATTGGTTCGGAAAGCTGGTGCATGGTATGTTGATGATTCAAAGTCATTTAGAAGCTGGAATGATTTTAAAACGGCATTTCTAAATCGGTTCTCATCATCGATTCATGCTCAGCGAGATTTGCACAGATGATAAAACGTGAACAACAGCCTTGCGAATCCGTCACGGCTTATTTTGATGATAAACTTTCGTTATGCCGTGAATATAACCCAAACATGGTTGAATCATTAATCGTTCACCATTTAATAGCTACCATAAATCCACAAATCGCCAAACAAATTCTAAGGTCCGATGCTCCCGTTGATACATTGGGTAAATTTTGGAATATAGCAAAAACAGAAGATCTTAACGAAACATATGCTAAATTAGCACAATTGAACATACACCGGCCACAGTCTATTTTGTTAGAATTAATTTTACTTACAACAAAAAACTGAACAGTCGCGTACACAAATTTATCAACATCCCAATCCTCCGATTAGAACATCATCAACTACAGCAACTAATGAAAATAATTATAATTCTTTTAGAGACAAGTATAATTTAATTTCGTCGTTACCATATTCTCAATGTGATTCACTACCACGGATTTCTTCATCAACGCCGTTCAGTCCATGTAAAGTTTGTGGCAAGGCTAATCATAGCACAATTAAATGTGGATACCGTCAACGCTCAGGATACTTCAACTGCCGGCTTAATCATTCAGTCCGTGATTCAGGTAGCCACCGCATTTTCAATAAATAATTCCTACCAATTCTTTCATTATAATAAAATTTCCCTTTTTGTCACGTCGTACTATTTGATACGATTTGTTATTACATAAAACAAATGGTGTGGTCTCAGATCGATCTTGTGACCATACACCACATCTTTTCCAACTGATTGTTTATTCTCTTCGCTATTCTTAATTATGAAAGTTGAAGCTTTTGTGATAACCTTAGGCGGCTGTGAATCAATTACTTGAGGTGATACACTAATGACTTGTTGGATAAC